CTCTCCTAGAAATAAATAAACTATAAAAAAAAAAAAAAAAAAAAAGAACTAAGGAAGGATCCATCCAAGCAAAGCCTGGCCTGGGGTGTCCACAGCAGTGCAGTTTATAAGAACAGAACGACCTGGATGTGCATCAGCCGGGGACCAAGTGGATAAACCAGAGACTTGACTGCTGTCTGGCTGTAGGTACAGGAACAAAGCAGCTTACAGTCTGCTGGGAGCTGATGGACCCTATTTTCTATAAAAGTGTAGATTAGTGGTTGCCTGGGCAGGGTGTGGACCGGGGGGTAGTTGTAAGTAGACAGAGGGGATGGAAATGTTCCACAGCTAAGTGGTGATGGTCAACACTACTTGGTCAATGTAAAAACTTATTGTACACTTAAAATGGGTAACTCTTACAGCAGGTAAATTATACCTCAATGACGTTTTTAAAAAGTACATCACTGGGGCGCCTGGGTGGCTCAGTCGGTTAAACGTCCGACTTCGGCTCAGGTCATGATCTCACGGTTTGTGGGTTCGAGCCCCGCATTGGGCTCTGTGCTGACAGCTCAAAGCCTGGAGCCTGCTTCGGATTCTGTGTCTCCCTCTCTCTCTGATCCTCCCCTGCTCACGCTGTCTCTCTCTCTCTCTCTCTCTCTCAGAAATAAATAAAACATTTTTAAAAATTTTTTAAAAAGTAGATCACTAGTATAGAGACACTCCCAAAAAACCCCATTATATATATATATATATATATATATAGAGAGAGAGAGAGAGAGAGAGAGAGAGAGAGAGAGAGAGAGATACAGACAGAAAATGATCCCCCACATAATTAACACAGCTTATCTCTGCGTGAAGGGTTTAAGGAAGATTTTTTTTTTCTCACCTGCACTTTCTAATTTTTCTATAATGCAAAGAGAGAGATCTCTGTGTAACTTGGTGGGGGGGACAGAAAGTTTGCATAAAAGCTGAGAAATCTTCTGCTGTGGTGCGCAAACTTCATGCCCCAACCAGCAAGAGGCTCCAGTCTTTCCCCTTCCTCACAGAACAGAGCTGGTGCCCAACAGCACCCAGCCCCCAGTGGCTGGGAGGGCCTGGCCTTTGGGCCTCAGGACCTAACGCTTCTATACACGAGTCAATAAGAAAGGTCTATGCCAGACCTGTGTTCTGGATACACCTGCCGTGATTCTATCCTTCCAACTCCCCTAGGAAGGTGCTGGGAGCCGCACTGGCCTTCGCTGGATGACAGTCACAGCTCCTGCCATGAGAAACGAAAACAGGTATCTCCTTCTGCTACTAGTGGCTCATGTTGGAAATGAGGCTGCTGGTATTGACCAGGCCTCACAATATTCCAGATCAGACCGATATTCCCCACACAGAATACACATAAGGAAAAGCATATACCTAACTTTTCCAAAGAGAATACAGATGAAAACAATGTGGATGATTGTTAAAAGGCTCTTCCTAAGGGCCTTGCAGATCCAAGACTTACATAATAAAGGGGGCTAAGAACATAGAGTTACAATTGAGTCTGGCCCTGAGACATAGAGCCTAATGTAGAGTTAAGGGAAGATATCTACCCCCCACCCATTTGTTTCTGCTTGGAACATTTTCTGGCCTTGAATATGATTGCTCCCTGTGAAGGAACCTATTGAGGAACTTCTTCTTTGGTGATTATGGAAGCAAAGGTGTCTCCTGAAAGACCTGTTTGACCTCTGCTCACAGAGAAGTAATTTCACCCTTTTATGCTAAAAACATTGTCTGATATGCTAAAGATACCTATCTCACTATTGATGAAGGTTATGCAGAAGTCTTCTACAAATCTATGTTCTGGGAAATTCTTACATACCAAAGAAGTTGGTTATGAGAAATCATTGTCTAAGGCAAATGCCACTTCTTCTCTGCCGTCCCCAAACACTTAATGACAAAATAAAGTTGAGCCCCAGTTAGAGCGGAGATGCAAGCCTGGTGACCGGAAAGACTGTCAGGCCTCTCTCACCCCTCCCTCGCCGACACCATCCATCCTTCAGGGACCCCTGGACCCGGGCTGGAGCCGGTCTCTGACAGGAAGGGAAACATTTGTATCCAGAGTGGGAAACTGAGGCTCAGAGGTTGAGAGAACTTGGGCAGGATGGCAAAGGAAGGTAGTAGTGTCCAGATTCAAGTCCTGGCCCTAAAGCCCAGGTCCTCACCACCTGGTCATGATACCTTTCAGGGTGCATTGGGCCCTGGGCTCATGGAACCGTTAGTTGAGTCAGGCTCAGATCTTCCCAGGGTCTGGGGTTTTGGGATCTATCACTCCAGTGCAGGGGGAAGGGGAAGGCTGCTTTGGAAAAGCCCCACAGTCAGGGTCTCTCCTCCCGGACCCTCCCCTGGCCTGGCCCCCGGTGAAGGGGAGTGGATGAGGCCGCAGGCTGGCAGCCAGCTGCGCTGCAGTAAGACAGGGGCGGGCGGGTGACTTAGACGTGTCTGTTTCGCTCACCCCAGGAGCCACAGGCTCCATGGACATGTCTGTCTAGGTTGTGGGAGGTTTGAGTCCTGTGCTCTTGGCCTCAGGCTCCCCATCCACCAAGTGCAGCCTAGCCAGGGTTGCTGGAACTGCAAAGCCACCATGGAGGGCAGCCTGCTGGGGGCCGTGGGTTGCCCTGCCCACAAGTGGGGCCACAGCCTCCCAACTGGTACCTGCCGCACCGTCCCCAAACCCCTCCTCTGTCAAGCAAACGATGATGCTTTCAAAGATGTGAGTAAACCTCAGCCCTAGCCGGTCCCACATCTGCCCACATCTTCCTCTTATCAACCGTCCCAACCTTCCCTCCTGTGCACTCCTCTCAACTCCTCAAACTCAGGGCCTTCGCCCTGGCCTCGCCCCCGGCTGGGAGAACATCCTTCCCAGGTGGGCCCAGGGCTGACTCTCAGTCTCAGCTCACCAGTCCGCTCAAGGAGGTCTCACCCCACCCCTGCTCCACCCCAACGTGCGACTAAATATCCGTTTGCGGGTTTTCTGGCGGATTTCCGTGCTCCCAAGAAGAGGAGGCGCCCAGGTCGGTCTGTGAACCCCCAGTGCCCAGGAAACGGCCTGGCATTCAGTAGACGGTCAATACATTTTTGCAGAAGCTATGCCCATCTTGGTCTAGGAGAACCGGACGGGGGCGGGGTGGGGAGGGAGAGGGAGGAGAGACAGGAGGAAGCGCCGCGCGCATGCGCGGAAGCTCAGCGCCGAGCTGAACTCTCAGGCCGGAGGGAATGACCGCGAGTAACCTCGCGTTGACGTCAGGGCCGGAGCAGGGGCGGGGCCTCGGCGACACCCAGGTCCCAAGCTCTCGCCGCGGCCGCCACCGGGCTGAGGACTCACTGGCCGCGCGGCGCGGGGCCCGGGACGCCGAGGCGCACGTGCCCGGCCCTGAGCCTCCAAGGGACCCGGCGAGGCGTGGCCCGAGACGCCAGGGCGGGCACAGGGAGGCTCAGAGCGGTCTGGACAAGGAGGCCCACAGCGCGCGGCCCAGAGACGTGGGGAAGCCCCACGCACGCAGTACAGAGCCGGCGCCCCGCGCCGACCGGGGAGACAAAGGCCGGTCGCCGCCTACGCTCCCGGCTCCCGCGGAGCCCAGGGGGCCCTTGACGTACCTTCGATATCGGTCAGCAGCGCCGCGTCCAGCTCGCAAGGCTCGGCCAGCGCCTCCTCCAAGGCCGCTTCGCTGAACGGCAGCTCATCCATGGCGCAGTTGCCTCCTCCTGGCGGCCCTCCGGGCCCGCCGCCGCGTACGGACTTTCGCAGGGAGCGCCGCGTTCGCCGGCCCCGACTCGCTGCCGCCGCTGCGCGCGTTGGCGTCGTGTCCTGGCCCCGGTGGCGGCCGGACGCCCGCGAAAAGTTCCTCGGAAACTGGGTTCCCCCGCTGTGGCTCTGCAGGGAGGGCGGGGCGGAGGCGGGGCCCTGTCGGTAGGCCCCGCCCTCCCGGCTAGACGGCCCCACCCCACCTGGAGAGAGCGGGGACCAGGCTACCGGGTCAACCTCGCAAACGTACCTCCAGCCGGACCCTCCATCAGTGTGCCCTCCCGTCATTGATCTTATCCAGGATCTGGCCCTCTGGCCCGTTGCTGCAGGAACGCTCGGGCAGGCAATGGGCCTTTCCTGGGCCTCAGTTTCTCCAAAACCAAGCAAGGGGTCTGGGTGGAAACTCTAGGACAGGGCCTGTCCCAAAGGTCTCTGGACTTAGGGCTGGACGGGTGTGGGGTCTGGACAAATCTCACTTCCTAGATTGGCTCTTTAGAACAAGACAGATCTGTCCAAGATAGAGCTCTAAAGACTCGCTGTGAGCTCTCCAGCCAACTCTGTGCTTTAGTTTCATCAGCTGTAGCTGAGCTTCGTCCTGCTTCTCCATAGGCTGGCTGGGATGTTAGTGAGTACATGATGTGGGGGGAGGGGGGCTGGGCCTGTGAGATCAGCCTGCAACCTCCCCCCCCCCCCCCCCCCCCCCCCCCCCCCCCCCCCCCCCCCCCCCCCCCCCCCCCCCCCCCCCCCCCCCCCCCCCCGTTTCCTTTAGATCAGATTGATCTCCTGGTAAGAGGATAGCCCAAAGCGAGCCTGGAAGAGACTTGAATTTCCCTTCGTGACTTAGGTTCCCTCCCAGATCCAGCTGTGGTGACAGTACAGGGATTTGGGAGCCAGTGGACCCAGTGCAGGCCCTGGAGATGGGCTAGCCTCAGGAACCAGGAGGAACACAGGAAAACCCAGAGTTCTAACTGTCCAAGCACTCAGCTACCCAGGGACAGCAACAGAGTTGGGCCCCAGGCCTATCTGACTCCAAACTTAGAGCTTCCCTCTGGGGGCAGCCAGGATGGGGACACAGGGAAGAGGTGGACTGTGCTTTAGACTTGAGCCCGGTTGCCCTGGATAATGACAGGCTGGGTCTGGGTCAGAGGAGGCAGCCTGGCTAGGAAAATGGCTGGAGACCAAACCCTCAGCCCTGTGGACTGGGGACAGAACTAAGTGGCAGGGGAGGGACCCATGGAGATGGATTGGGATAAAGTTGAACATTTGAGTATCTGAAACTGGAAAGGCAGTGAGCTGCCTGTCCCTGGAAGTATGCAACTGGAGGGTAGCCAAGAAGACCCATCTGAGGTCTGGACCCCCAGTCTCTCCTAGCCCCTGACCTCAGTGAGTCATGCCAGCCCAAATACTGTCTTGCTCAGGCTCCAGATATAGCTTGTCTGGCCACACCTTCTGGGGGAGTAAAATTAGTGGTGTGCTTTAGAAGGGGGGTGCCTTGGCCAGGAGAGACTCAGAGGCCCCAGTCCCAAGGGCTCAGCCTGTACACGCAGCTCTCTTTATGTCCCTCCCAGAAGTGGCTGCTAAGAGTGTCTCCAAGCCACATCTTCCCCCAAAGTGGCCCTGCTCTGGGATCCACCCAAGGATCCAGACGAACTTCTGCCAGGGAGCATAGAGGGATCTGGCTTCTCCCCGGCCATCTTTCATCCTGCCCCCCGACCCCAGGCCCTACCACCCCAAGCAGGAGCCAACGACCCAGGAGGCCTTGGGAAACTGGTGACGAACCTGAAAATTCTAACAGCCCTTCCCAGGAAGAGGGGTGGGGAGAAGAGCGGGTACTGAGTGGAGCCTACTTCAGCGGGTACTGAGTAAAGACCGCTTTACCCAGGGACGCCGGGATGGTTCAGGTCATGATCTCACGGTTCGTGAGTTCAAGCCCCGAATCAGGCTCTGCTGACAGCTCAGCCTGGAGCCTGCTTTGGATTCTGCGTCTCCCTCCCTCTCTGCCCATCCCCAGCTCATGCTCGCTCTTTCTCTCTCAAAAATAAATAAACGTTAAAAAAAAAACACACACACACGCAACCTTTTCCAGAGTCAGGATGCTGGCCTGGCTTCTCACCTGCTTGCTTAGTGACCCGGAACCAGGTCCACTTTTCTGAGTCGCAGCTGTTGGATTGTGAAATGAGAATAGCCCTTCCTGCAGTCACCCAGCAGAGGCAGGTGGGGTGGGCTGGAGTCATCAGCACACACACCTGCCTCACCGTTCTCTGACTCACCATTGTGTACGTGGATTTACCCTATATGTAAAGAGCTCGAGTCACTAAATATGCATGCCTCACTAAATATGCATGCCATAACTGCAGGAGTTCAGAGAAAGAGGGAAAGGCAAGGTCAGCAGGAGACCTGCCGCCCAGGCTAGAAAAGCCAATTGAAATTGAAGCCCCTGCCATGGGGCATTGTTGGGGTGGGGGGTTCTTTAAATCTCCTCAACTAAAAAGACAAAACTTTCCCTTACAGCCTTACATTACCAACGGCAATTCTCAAGGTGAGAGTGAAGAAAGACACATGAGGGTGGCATTTCTTCAGGGAAACCTCTCCGTGGCTCCTCTCCCTAAAGAGCCTGAGCCCCCCAAACAAGGCCCTCAGACTCCTCTTGGCTGGGGTGACCCGAACTCACACAAGGAAGGAGTGTACCAGGGCACGGAGGGGCACAAGCCGTGGTGGTGGGCGCCCCTGTCCTGGTGTGCCTGGGAGGGGGCAGGGTCCCAGACTGGCCGACAGTGACGCTGGCACGCTGTGTCGGCACTGGCAACAATCTATGAAGGCTTACCAGTGTTAAGGCATGTTTTCCTCCCATCAATCCCAGGAGGAGCGGGCTGATGTACCCATTTTACAGATGAGAACACCGAGGCACTGGGAGGTAAAGCGACTTGCCCACGGCCTCGCAGCGCTGTTGTCCCTGATTTTCTCAGGGTCTGGGCAGCCCGAGGAGCGGTGCTGGCTCCTCACCCGGTGCAGGGCAGCGGCCAGAGACCCAGGGGAGTTGGGGCGCCGAGCCAGACAAGTCCCGCCCCCACGGGCCGGAGTGCAGCCAATGGGCGCCAGGCGCCGAGTGGGGTGACGCGGCGTCAGCGCGAAACTCCCGGGAGCCAGGCCCTGGGTCACATGCACCGCGCCCGTTCGACCGGGGTGGGGGGGAAGAGGAGGGAATGGGGGCGGGACCGCGGTGCAGGCTGGCAGGGTCTGGGCCCTTGGGACCAGTTGGGCCTGCTTTTTCGGCCCCCGGCCTCCAGGCCAGACACCTGGCTGGGACTGCCGCCAGGTGTGCGTCCTGACACGGGGCCGCTGTGGTCCCGGGGCGCTCCGGGCTGGGAGGCACGCCCGGCTCCCAGAGGCTGCGTCACCCAGCCGGGTCCCTGCCCGATCTCGGCTTTGCCAACTCTGGAATAGGGTACAACCCCCTCTTGGAGGCTGACAGACAGACATCTGTGGGGCAGGTGTCCAGCACGGGCAGGGGCTTCGTCAGGGCTACCCGTCTTGGCGGAGCTCAGGGGTGGGTAGAGGGGCAGGCACTGGCGTCACCGGGGCTGCTGGCCCTGTGCGACCCTGGGCATTGCCTAGGAGAATACGGAGACCCCTCCCCACTCCGAGTCCCCTGCATCCCTGCCTGTGCCCCTTTGTCTTTCATTTCTGCCGTAGCTAAACCAGGACCCGCGCAGACTATGGGGGCCAAGCAGCACAGGGCCAGCCTGGAGCCTCTTGCCGCCCCGCCCCTGACTCCATCTGGATGTAATGGAACCAAGATGGCGTTGACATGGATGATTCTGGTCCTAGATGACCCCGTGTTCTCATTCCATGCTGGCCTCTGCTATGCGCCGGGGAAATTATTTCTAGCCCTCTCTGAGCTGCTTTGGGTCAGCTTTGCCCAAAGATGCTCACTCATGGAGGTCACCTCCGGGTTGGTCAATGAGTCATTCAACAGACACTCCCCCAGAGATCCGGTAGAACCACCAATGGTGCTGCATGAGGGGTGAAGCTGACAGAAATGAAGACTGAGCGGGGGACATTTGTCCCCTGGGTGCTAACAGGCTATTTGGGGTGAGGCCAGGTTTGGACTCAGAGGGAGCCACAGAATGGGGTGGGTTGAATTGGTAGCAGGAAGAGTCCACGGGGACCCCAAGACATCATCATTTGACCTCCACAGGCCAAATCCAATCCTACATGGGTTCTAATTTTGAATTAATTATCAAATGTGGAAGGTTCCGGGGCACCTGGGTGGCTCAGTTGGTTAAGCGTCCAGCTTCGACTCAGGTCATGACCCCCGCGTCCAGCTCAGAGCCTGGAGCCTGCTTTGGATTCTGTGTCTTCCTCTCTCTGACCCTCCCCTGCTCTCTGTCTCTCAGAAATGAATAAAACTTTTAAAAAAGTGTGTAAGGTTCCACTTAAAGGCTGAATTTCTGGCTTTTCTTGAAAAATGAAAATTTTGAGTAACCCTGGCCTCAACAACTGGGTGCCCTGTAGCCAGTCTGTGACTCCCCCACCCCCCGCCACAGTCCCTATCAGTCCCCAGGAATCACATCTGGGCCACTTCGCTCATAAATGAGTGTAATGAAAAGGCCCCTGAAGGCAATGGGTTTACGATCCATCCACGATCCCGATTTATAGATCGGGGGAGAACGTACCAGAGAGGACAAGGGGCTTGTTCGGGGACCCACAGCAAAGAAGCCTGCAACCCCTGAGAGTGGGCTTGGGGGCGGGGAGGAGATGGCACCAGGCAGAGGAGTCCACTGGGTTTCCAGAAACATCCTACTGACCCCCTAGTGCCGGAGGCAGAGGTTTTGCTTGCTGGGATGCCCAGGGCCCGGGCTTGGAGGCCCTGAGCAGACTCCCCAGAGGGCCACCCAGCAAGAATGGGCAGGGGGCTCCTCTGAAATAAAGTGGAATTGCCGGGTGGCTCACGCCTACTCAAGTCCTCTTGTTCTGCCCGCCCCTGGTCCCTCGGAACCCCGAGGAGACTCTTTTTCTTGGAAAGGAGGTGGTTGGGAAAACACTCTCCTCCTCAGGTGCTTTAGTGTGTAACTAGCGAGCAGGGGGGCCGAGCGCTGGCCGTGAGAAGACCTACCCGACGGGGCCCTCTCCAGATCTCTGGGGAGGAAGGGCACCTAGAGCTGGAAAGCAGCTCCTCTCAGGCTCCAATGAAGGGAGACAACCAAAGGTTGAAGAAGAATCCAGAAGCTTGTCTCTGTCCAAGTCTCCACCCCCCAGTGTGTCACTCCTATCTCTGGGCCTCTCCACCCACGCTGCAATGACCATTTAATGCTTCCTCAGTTTTCCTTTTTTTTTTTTTTAAGGTGTTCTTTTTAAGTAATCTCTACACCCACCATGGGGTTCAAACTTACAATGCGTAGTGCTCTACGACTAAGCCAGCCAGGTGCTCTGCCTCCTCAGATTTCATCCCCACTCTGCTAAGAGCCTGGGTTCTCAGGGTGGGTTCTGGGACTTTCCTCGAACTATTGATAAAGAAGTGCCTTCCCTCTGCTAGTGGAAAGTCAGCCTGGAGCTGCAGGCACCCTTGAGTTAACCACATGGAAGGGCCAACCCAGAGAATGCAGAGCCAAGACATAGGGAGAGACAGATTCCTAACCAAAGCCATAAGCACCTGGATCCAGCTATGCCTGAAGCTGTCAGAATGTTTTTGTACGTAATTCAACAATTTCCTCTTTCTGATTAAATCAAATGTCTTTCTACCATGAGAAAAATCCCAATATGGCATGTCTAACAGAGGAGTTTGGGCCACAAACCTTTATCTTGAACAAAGAGGCCTCAACACTGCTTAACTTTACTTCTCCATTTCCCAGACGTCTTTCTCCATAGAACCCCTCCTTTTTAGGAACAGTTGCTAATGTCCTGGGGAAATGCATCTTGGCAAGTCTCTGCCAGGGATCTTGAGGTCTCTCCCAGGAGGCTGGTCAGTTAGATCAGAGTTGCCTGACCGCTCTCCCCCTCCCCTGTGGCTGGCCTGCCCCGTGCAACCTCACGCAGCAGCTCAGTTACTCTGGGCCTTGGCTGCTCCCCCAGAACCTCCCCGCCCTGCAAGGCCTGGAAGAGGGCTCTGGGGCTTCCTGGCTACAGAACATCCTGGATTCTGGAAACCGAACCAGGCTGGGAGCTCCCTGAGGGTGGGACGCAAGCAGCCCCTCCCCTCTGGCACTAACCTGGTACACAGCAACTCTCAGGAACATGCGCTGCCCGGGTGTCCTGGCACGTCCACGGTGGTATGTCAGGGCCAAGCCACTGTCTATGGGGCGGGAACAGAGCTCAGGCCTCTTTTGGCTCTCATAGTGCCTCGTACAGGACTGGGGGCAGAGAATGGGCTCAGGATCCACGGCTTCTACTCACGGGCCCTGGGGACGGGGGTCTCCCACCCTTCCGAGGCCCACTCCACCCCCATCTCCCGGTGTGAGAGCCCCTGTCTCATTCTCACTGGCCAGAAACCGGCAGAGCCTCCCCAGAGCTCCCCAGAGCCCATCGAAGCAAGTGGGAGCTGGGTGCTGCCGCTTCCGACCTGGGCTGATGACGGTCTCATTGTGGGTCCCAGTTGGGTCCTGCCTGCCCCGTAGCAGTAGGCAGGGCAGCGCCCCCTCCACCCCCCCAAGCTACCCTCCGGCAGGGCTGGTGTTTGAGGTGGGCGGGATGGCCTCACCTGCCTCCCACCAAAGCCCGAGGTGTGAGCTGGGCAAACCCAGGCAGGTGCGTGGGTCTTCCCAGTTCGGTCTTTTCAGCTGAACACAACCTGCGATTCTTCCAGGTTCACCTGGGGGCTTGATAAGCCAACCCCACTTCGATCCTCAAACCCCATGAGGTGTAGGGATTAAAGGGCTCCAGTCTCCTCTGGGCCACTCAGAGGAGATGCAGGCCCCGTGTGGCTCCCACAACGTGCCCCCGAAGGACCCCTGCGCATCTAGGCCCACTGAGGCCTGCTTCCTGGAGGCCCGTGGCCTGGCAACAAGCACCCAGAGTGGCCAGTTCTCGGGACAGGACCGAGGCCTTTTAAAAAGAGAGAGCGCTGGGGTGTGTGGGGTGTGTGTGTGGGTACTGCTTTTTGGGGATGAAAATGCGCAGAAATTGATCATGGTGATGGCTGAACAACTCCACGAATAGACTGAAAACTACCTGATGGTATACTGTAAATGGGTGCATTGTATGCTATGTGAATCATAACTCAATAAAGCTGTTTTTAGAAGGGGTAGTGGCTCTTGGAGCGGCAGCCCGAATAAATGCCTCGCACAAGCCATGCAGATGATTTGGTGGACGCCTGCCCACCTTCAGGGAGCCCAGCTGAGTGGGGCTGTGGAGGGGGCTCTGCCCTGTTTGCCCCGGACAGGGCTGAGGGCCTCCCCCACATGCCCAGGACCCAGGATGAGATGCAGGAATAACCACAGGCCCTGGCAGAGCTCACAGGCAGGCCATGGGTGGGCTCCAGCCGCTGCAAACACCCCCAGACCAGGCTGTGCCCCGAGGTAGACGAATGGGGCCGGGCATGGGGGTTTTCCTCTAGCCCAGACTCCCCTGGCCAGCCAGGGCACTGCTCAGGCAGCCTGGGCATGGCTGAGGGGGAGGGGAGCCAGCCTCCGGAGTGGCTTCCTCCAGCAGGGCCCCCGGGCAGCCCCTGCTTAGAGAAAGTAGGGGCCCTTGGGTGCCTGGGTGGTTCGGTTGGTTACGTGCCTGACTCTTGGTTTTAGCTCAGGTCACGATCTCACGGTTTGTGAGTTCGAGCCCCATATCGGGCTCTGCACTGACAGGGCAGTGTGGAGCCTGCTTGGGATTCTCTCTTCCTCTCTGCTCCTCCCGCTCTCCCTCCCTGCCCCCTCTCAAAAATAATGGGAAAAAAAAAAAAAAAGCAGCAGCAACAGGTGCCCAGAAGTGGCAGGCCCTTTGGACGGTCACAGCTGACTCCACAGAGATCACAGAGGAACAGTTTGTTCATTTATTTATTGTGGAGTATTTTACATGCAAGAACCCAAACTAGAGAGACAACATCTGGAAGGAGAGCCGGTGGGTGGATGGACGCGCTGAGCCTCGAGTGCACTGACCCGCCCCTCCATCGCCACCGGCTCTGCCCGCAGAAACGCACAACAGTGACGGAACATCAGACTTCTAGGACGATTGGACAATAAACCCAACACATCTCTCTTTCAATAGCCCCCAACAATCCTGAGACCCTCGCAAATTAAGTGCAAACTTTAGGAAATAAATACCCATCTCCCTTTCTCCAGGAGAGCTCGGAGACTTCAGACACGTGAGCAGGAGTGTAATCGCAGGGCTGGCGGCGGGCGGCCGCAGGGGAAGCCTCGCCTGGACCCCCATGGACAGGAAGGGCCGGAGACGGCACTGGGAGAGGCGGGCACTGCAAGGGGCATCTTCTGGGTGCCCGCACACACTCAGCCACGGTGGCAAGGCTGGCTGGTCCCCACGGGGGTGGACAGGCCCAGGGGCCCAGGAGGAGAGGCTTGTGGCGGGCCGGCGGGGGCCAGGCTGAGAACACGCTGCTCCTGCTTGGTGCTCCTCCCCAGCTAGCCCACAGTCCTCCTCAGCCGTCCAGAAGGCTGGGCCCGACGGGAGTTGGAAACGTGTGTAGTGTATGTGGAGACAAAGCGGGGGTGGCGCAGGAAGGACGAGGAGGAGCAGGAATGTAGGCGGCAGAGCAGCTCTCTGCCCCAGGAAGCTGGAGCGGTCCAGGTGCCTGCCGCCACCGGGCTGTCTATCCAGAGCCCTGGCCACCACTCTCCCAGTCGGGGGGCCTTGAGGGACAGTGCAGGCCCCGTACCTCCCCAGGCCCCCTTGCTCTGGATCGCAGGGGAAGGAAGGGAAGGGCAGTGAGCCACGGCAGATGGCACGGTCACTCACGCGGATGGGGCTGACAAACAGAAAGACAGGACAGACAGCGGACCGAATCACCCTTCCCTCTGGCCCCGGCCAGCATCAAGCCCGTTCGGCTCAGAAACCCCTTGTCCCGTGCAAGCTGATAAGCAGGCAGGTCACCCCTCGGCCTGGCCCCAGTTGGCCTGCTGGGTCCCTGGGAGGGGGGATCCCAGGCAGGGACTGCTCTGGGGCAGGCTGGCCACAAGTGCCACCAGTGCCCCGGGTCACCACTGCCCACTGGCCACAAAGGTAGGCGGGAAGAAATGGTTAGTTTTCTCATCTCCGCACACAATGAACACAGAAAAGGTTAAACACATCCCCAAGAAAATATTTTGACAAAATAAATATTTTTAACCTATAATCAGGTATAATTAGTGCTTATAAGGAATCCCAGCAATAATTTAGTGTAATTAAGTACATACTGTATCTGTGATTTCTAACACTTGTAGAGCGGCTGGTGGCTCGTGAGGGTCTCACTCCTGGGGGACAGGCACTGGCCAGCTGTCCTGCCAGAGCGCGGCTCCCTTCCCCAAGCAGGCGGCCAGGGAGCTGGGCTCCCCGGGGGGGAAAGGAGCCAAGAGCTGAGTGGCCTGGGGTGCCTGTGGCCTCGGGACAGGAAGAGCTGAGCAGCACCCCCTTAAGGCCACCTGGGCCCCTACTCCGCTTTTTGTGCAGGCCTCAAGCCTGTGTCACCTCAGCCTCAGGGTAGGGCCAGGCTGCCTCCGGATAGGACTGGTGAACAGGAGGGGCAGCCGCGGGCCCGGAAGGCGGGGCCTCTTCCCTGTGTGAGCCAACACCTCCCGGCCACAGGCGCCACCACCATGCGCTGCCCAGGGGCGGCCCGGCCTCTCCAAGCCCTGCCTGGAGTTGGGGGGCAGCTCTGCGCCACAGGTACTGAGAGCAGCTGTGCTGGGGTCTCCCCAGACAGACACAGGCCTCGGCTTCGGCTTCACTCTCTGCCGGGGGCCTCCTCTCCCCTCAGACCCTTCAGGCTCCCGCTCTTGGGGGCACGTCCCCTCCCACAAGGCCGGGAGGCTGGCTCTTCCCTCCGAGGACGACGCGGGGCTCGGCTGCTGCGGGACGGGCCCCCGGCCCCTCAGGACAGGCGCTCCCGGCTGCTGGGGGTACGAGCTGGGTACAACTAGACCATCCCAGCCACCTTGGACAGCTAACTTCAGATATCCTAATGTCCAAGCAGGGACATTAGGGGGCTCTGGCTGTGAGCAATGTTGAGAAGAGAGGAGCCGGTGGGCGGAGGGGCTGGGTTGGGGGGACAGTAGAGTGAGGCACCGGCTGCCAGGGAGGGCGGGGCTGGAGTCAGGCTGGCTGAGCTCTGAGGGGGAGCTTCCTGCATGTCCTCGGAGGTGTCAGAATGTGACCCCCCACCCAGCCGGTCCTGCCAGGAGGGCCCTCAACCAGACCCCGGACCTCCCCTCTGGAAGAGGCTGGGGGGAGTCACAGGGCTCGGGGTTCTGGGCTGGGGTGCGCCTCGCTCTCCACCAGAGGTGCCGGACCCAGGCCTGAATGCTTCTTCCAGAGCCTGAGGCCCTGGTGTCGGCCGGCGTCAAGCCCAGCTCTCCTCCCTGCTCCGCCTGCCAGGGCTGACCACGCCACAGCTCAGGAACACGTCTGGCCCGGGTACCCGGGTGGCGCCTTCTGGAATACTGACCCGGGCCCCAGCAACTCACGGGCTGGTTCGGAGCAGCTGCTGCAGCATTTTTCTTCTTCTGGGCAACCATAGTGCAGAGGTGGGGTGGGCTGGACCCCGGACGGTGTCAAGGCTGAGCGCCTTGTCTGCGGCCAGGAGACACGCGGTGACGGGAGCAGGTGTCCTCAAGCCCTAGCTCTCAGCCCCAGGCTGCTGGCCTTCTAGGTTGGTTTGGAGAGAGGGTACAAATCAGTGGCGAGGGGGGTTCGGGGCGGGGGGAGGGTAGGCTGCTGGGACATTCTGTGGAGGAAGCGGAGACCCACGCCAACGGGCAGTGCAGGGACCTTAGGGTCACTCCAGCCCCTTATTGTTGCATCCCCAAACCTGGCGCAGAGCCACGTGCTGCTGGGCCCCGGAGGTAGAGGCGCAGAGGCTGCCACAGGCCAGGCCACAGCCCCGAGCGTGGCGCGTTCACAAGCCCACCGAGCTTTCCCAAGTGAGCCAGAGCGACTCCTCCCCACGCAGGTCCCTCCACGGACGGGGACACGGAGCGGCCTGGTGTACGGTGGCGGCTCTCTGCAGGAGCTAACCCGTGCGCCTCGTGACCAGCATCCATGGGTCACATGCTGTCTCCGCAATCGCCTTTGGCTCTCCCTCCGCACACCAGGAACCTGTGGGTCCCAGGCTCAGCTGCTGAGGGCAGGGGCCCGGGCTAGCAGCTGTGTGATGGAGGGAGGGTCAAAAAGCTGAGAGGCCTCACACAAGGGCACCCACAGAGCCTTCTAAAGTGCCGAGCACGCCAAGTGCCACAAGGTGACACGCGTCAGGGAGCAGCATTCCAGGGAGTGAGGCCAAACTCACAGGTGCAGACAAGCCCTTTGTGGAACAGGGGCATGGGAGGGTAGGCCGGCCCAAGGGGACCCACTGAGCCAGGCAGGGGCAGGACCCGAGGGGAAGGGGCTGGGGTCTGACCCCCTTCTCTGTGGGCGGAAATCGGAGGAAGGTAGGCCAGGTGTCTCCTCAGGAAATGGTCCCACGGGGACTGCCCTGCCTGAGGCTGGGTCCGATGCCTGTTCTTCCCGGGAGGACACATGGGTAGAGGGAGCCTGTGGGCCAGAGGGGCAGGGGCGGAGGATGAGAGTCTCTGGCTGCAGCGACGCTGTCCCACCACCCGGAGAGAACAAGGTGGCCAAAGCTGGTCCTGACTAGTGGAGGCCTGGGAGCAAACACAGTGGCGTACCCGTGGAGACACAGCAGCACAGGACCGAGGGGGGACGGGGGATGGGAGGAATGGCCAGTGCCTAGTGTGGACCGGGGGAACAGGTGACCTGCTGTCTGGGGAGCCGAGCCACAGAACGGCTCACAGGGCGAAGAGGGCATCCTCTGACCGCTCAGACTTCTTCCGGCCGGAGGTGTTTGAGGCTGGGGCCGGGGCCTCCCCTGGGGGCGAGGGGAGGTTGGGAACCATTTCAGCAGCTTTGGCTCTTTCTTCGAGGAATTTATCAAATTCTGCAATACAAAACCCAGGGCAAGGGGCAGGATTGGTAGGAGGCCAGGCCCAGACCACAACCCCCCTGCTCCCCTCCGAGCCCCATTCACTGTCCCTCCCCCTACCCCTCAGCACACTAGCCCGGGGTTGCCTGCAGGGAAGGAGGCAGGGAGTGGCAGGGTAGCAACCAGCAGAGCCAGGGGTGCTTCTGGGCTGTCTGCTGCCCGGAGACCCAGCCTTGACTTCCCCTCTCTGCCCCCCTCTGTCCGATCAGCACTGGGGGCAGGGCAGGGAAAGCTGGAGGGGCAAGTCTCCACTTGAACCTGGCAGAGACCATCCCCTGACCCTACTCTCATCCTCCAAGCAAGGTTCTGCCAGTGGAGGGGGTCTGATCGGATGGTCAGCAGAGCAGGGAGGGGGCAGTGCAGAGGGGAGAGTGGAAGGGAGTGGGGAAGACAGGAGGAGCAGGGGAGAGGAGAGAGATGGGGGGGTTGGAGGACCATGATGGGAACTTCCCTACTCGACCCATCATCCACTGCCCCACCCCCCGAAGTGGGGTCACAGGACACCAGGCCCGACAAGCTCCCTGTGTGCCCTGTGGACTGCGTGGCATTCTTGCCTCTCTGCTGGATGGAGAATTCAGGGGTGGGGACAGACTGGGTGGGACTGCAGGTCTGGGGGACACGCTGACCTAGGATGGCAATCTGGACCTACTACCCACTAGCTCTGTGACCTTCTTAAAGTCACGTGTTCTGGCACGCCTCTCATCAGCGTGGGGCCTGGCTGGGACACAGCAGAGAAGCCCCTGGCCTAGGAGGCCAGGTCAAGCAAGGATGGGTCCCAGGAGATGTGCTAGCAGCACAGGCTCCCAGGCGGTGGGGGTGCCGGCCCGTGTGCACCCAAGAGCCCGGGCCAGGGGTAGCAGATCGAGGGTGGGGAGCTGTCAAGGTGCTGGCCTGGTCATACCTTCACTTGTGACGCCCTCTTCCAGGTCATCGCCCTTCTGTGGGAGGAGCAGAGAGAGTAGCATTAGGGCCCAGCGTGGGCCAAACCCCCCACTTCCCGAGCCCAGAGTTCTGTGAGAGTAAAGTACTGCTTGTCTTACTGGGGGCACAAAAACCGTTTTCTAAAAAGCAAAAGCAAAACCACTCCAAACTGAGTAGTTCTAGGCTTTGAGCCTCCAGAAAGCCAGAAAGAAAAATCCAAAAAAAGGCACAGGCTGGTTCTCTGGGTTGGAGCTACGTGCAGGACCGCAGCCGGCCTCTGGCTACCCGGCGACCCTCTCCCAGTGGGAGCCCACTGTCCACGCCAACAGCTGGGAACTGCATGAGGCCTGGAAGGGACAGAGCCACGAAGCCCAGGGCACGGGGCCCAACACCAGGCAGTATTTGGCAGCAGAGCGCTGTCCGGCCAGAAGCCACGTCCCATGGCCTCCTGTGGCCCAGATTCCGTCACCTGCTGCCGCTTCCTGAGAAGCCACGGGAGCTCTCTCTGACTGCTCTTGACAATGACAGTGGATAGGACTTGACTTCATTTGCAGAACGCAGTGGTCGCTGGGAACTTACTGCACGGTGACAGGGAAGGGAACTGCACGGGGAAGTGGACGAGGCCTTGGGCTCAGCCGGGAGACCTGGCTTCCTTTCTAGCCCTGCCACTGGCCTGCTGCTCAGCCTTGCCAGACAGATCCCTCTCCCTTTCTGAACCTTGGGCCCGCCCCCCCCACCCCCGACGTTAGGTGAGGGCCTTGGTCCTTCCTGCTTTGCCTCTGTGACAGGAGCTATTTCTTTTCCAGGCATTCCCTTGGGAAGATATAATGGGGCGTTTCGTCCTCCCCTGGCATGGCACCTGGGGGTCTAACTCACTGGGCAATGGGTGTCTTCGTAAAGCCTGGCCTTGTGGGGAGGTGGCCCAGAGCAGTGGGACGCCCTAGCCTAGTACAGGAGGGGCCAAGTCACCAGCCTACCACCAGCCAGGCCAATCCTGTGGTAAAAAACGCTCTGCTCTGGGGACAGGGTCCCCTGAGGAGGTGGCAGCTAGGAGCAAGAGATGAGGTGGCTCTAGGACTAAGGGAGAATATGCCCAGCCCATGACCTTGGGAGAGCCACTTCCCCTCCCAGAGTGCATTTGTCTGTCAGACCCCCTGGCCAACCACCCCCGCTCTGCCTCCCACACAGCCGCCTGAGAGTGAAAGTGCTTTGTGAGCAGCAGAGGGAGGGACCAGCCACTGCAGCCCTCCCTTCCTTGGGACCTGCTGCCATTTGCAGCTGCACTATGTCCTCACCTTCCTGCCCTAGCTCTGCGGACAGAGACAACATTCCCAGGGCAAGGGTGCTGCTTTTAAATCCGAGATACCAGACGATACTGGGGAAGTGGGATGACAAAAAGTAAAAGCAAAAACAAAAACAAAAAACAAGAACAAAAAAACAAACAAAAAAACCCCCAAAAAACTAAAAACCACCACTCGGCTCATCTCTGTATACAGTTTACAGTGAAAAAGAAAAGATAAAAATAAAAATAAAACCCATAAAATCCCCCAAAACCCAAACAAAAACCCCAAAGCAAAGGAACCCAGGCGCACACACGCTAGATCCAGAAAAGTAACCGGACGCAAGTCCCGGAGCCGCCAGAGCCCCGCCGGCCGAGGCCCCGGGGCTGTGCCCTGAGCAGGTGCTCTGCGCCCCAGTAGGCGTCCCTCCTCCGCACCGCACAGGGGAGCGGGCCCTGGCCCCCGGCCTGTCCTCAGAAGCGCCTCTGCCTCGCCACGCCCCACACACGTAAGAGAAAAGTCAAGTCTCACCAGGTCCGTCCTGAGCCACACCTCAATGTCGTCCATGACAGAGGGCTGCGCAACGGGGATCTATGGAGGCGGCAAGCAGCGGGCCAGGCAGCCCCACAGCCAGGCGAGGGGAGACAGAACACCGAACAAAGTAAATCATCAAAAGCAACCCCCAAATGAAACCAAAACGTACAAAGAGCAAAAAAACACGTTGGCACAGCAGGCGCGGGCGACACGAGGCAGCCACATATGAAATGGCAGGTGAAGAAAGCAATGAGGTGGGCAGTTCTAAGAAGCAGGGCTGACGGCGGGCGCTGGAGGGGGCAGGGTTAGGGAGGGAGGGAGGGCAGCAGTACGCGTTCTTGAAATGGAGAACTTTTTGACTACTCTCAGCCCAGGGCTGCCAAGCACCTCTCAGCCCAGGCATGCGCTGGTCCTGCAGCTTGGTTTTGAACTGGTCGGGTTAGGACCCTTGGAAGAGTCCTGCCTACCGGCCATGGAGCCCAGCCCTCGGGAGTGACTGGAGGAGACACCAGGGGGCCCCTGATGCCTCTGGGGAGCCCAAGTGGCAGTCTGCCCGGAGCAGGGCTGCAAGTGGTCAGGCGGGCACGGAGTGTTTCGGAATGTGTCCCAGTGCGTCTCTGAGTGGGAGGAGGGGAGCGCCGGGGCCTGGCTGTGGCCTGGCTGACAGCAGGCGGGCACATCTCACCGCCAACACAAGCCGGCCAGGCTGGGGCTTTGATGACCAAAGCGACGTCGGGGCTTTAGTTGTCTTTGTCTCTCTTCAGGGGACAATCACGAAGCAGTCCTGCGTGCAGTGGCTCCTTTAGTCTCATCCTGTCTCCCAGTCTCAATGGCTGGCTGGGCTTCCGGAGCCAACGAAAATTTCCACTGAGAACGGGGGGGCACGGGGGAGCAATAGCTGGCGTGGGGAGGGGGGTGTGTGTGACTGGGTCCCGAGCAAACAAAGATGTGCCTTATGGGTGCCCGAGCAGTCTCCACGTCTGGCCCACCCATGCCAAGGCCTCAGGGGCAGTGATTCTGAAACGTGCGTTTGGCTAGAATGCAACAGGGGCTCACGAGTCCACGACTTCTAGCAAATTTGCTAGCACTGTGTCTATAGCTGGTTTCCCCCCAACGTCACAGCCTAGGGTAAGAATACAGTTAAAAAAAGCACTGAGAGAGCTGCCTTGATGTTTGCCAAATCTAAAAAATAACATGACCTTAACAAAGGAAAAGAACAAAGATTTCCTATTACCAGCCCTGCCCTGACGGGACAAGCTGCTCCTTAGAGACGGAAATCTGCTGCTGACGGAGTTTGGGGTGTGAGGTAGAGCAAGGGCTCCTAAGGCCGCCTCAGTGTGTTGAGCAGGGGTCCTGGGTGCACGCGTGCAGGCGCACACACACACATGTGCATCGTGCCTGGCTACAGACCCAGCGTGGGTAGCCTACACGCATTTTCACAAAGACTCAAGGCCACCCTTGATCAGATTAGGAAGAGTCTGTCTACGCTGTCATTATATTTCTCTGACTTACTGGGAACCACATATTGAAATGAAAGAAAAATCAAATCACCCTGAAACGACTCCTAGGGACAAAGAGCGTGTGATTCTCATTCTAGAGGGCGCAAATGCCCAGCGAGACTGTACTAACAGCACCTAAGGCAGCACCCGACTCCCCCATCAAAAAGAAGGCAGTCAAGGCGCGCGGAGTGCGATCTGCTAATTTTATGCTTGCTGGCAGGACTTCTGTCTTGACACCTTCCTGTGACAGGAGATGCCAATTTTCATTATCTTGATGCTTTTAAGTCAGAATGCCTGGCCTCTGGAAGGCTGCGCACCATGCCAACGTCCCGGAAACAAAGCTTGGAAAGTTAGGGGCATCTCCAATGAGAAAACATGGCCAACCACGGTCGTAGGGAGCGTGTGCCGGGCTCTCTTCCACCCACCCAGCTTCGGTCTATGGTCTATGGTGAACGGCGGTTCGATGGGTGGAGCTTTGCAATGTGCTGCAGAAGCTTGAAACACAAAGCCATTATGGGGTCACTGGTCTTAAACCTTCAGATTTGGCTTACAGTATTTTTGTTACGGTTCAGAAAGAAGTCCCTCGAGGCTAGGTATCATGCCCCAGTTTTCTTCTTTGAGGATTAATCTCGAAAGCCAGCACGCTCAGAAAATAAACATTGACATTTGAGAAACTCCTCACTCTCTCTCAAAAAAAAAAAAAAAAATTCCCAAAAGCTGGATCATGGGAACACTTTTCTTCCCTCTTTTAGATATCTCCAAATAAGTAGTGTGTTTCTGGAAGGGCATCCCTCCAGCGAAGCCCCAGGAGCCAGGCTGAGGACAGAGCACTGGGCGATGGGTCAGCTGGGCTGGGCTCATCAGGTCCCTGGAGCAAATACATTTTCTCTGGACTTGCTTCTTCACTCAGCAGCCCAGAAGTCTCTGCTGTTCTAAGCCTCAGGGCTTCAGGTGAAGAGGCAGAGCAGGGAGAGGGGGGTGTGCTTGGGCAGTTCTTGGCCTCAGTCTCCTCATCTGTGAAATAGGGTAATGGCTAGGTTCTATTTAGTTTTGGGCCCACAGGACTCCGAGCCCCTAACTTCCAGGTCAGGGTTTCTGTTTTGTAATCCAGAAACTAGGAATATCCTAAGTGATCGGAATTGACGCCTTCCAATATGAAAGGCACTTGGCCTCAGGGCGGAATCTCTGAGGAACTAGGGAAAGAGCTAACAGTAAAGCTTACAGAAGCCAGGGCAAGGGTTGACTTGCTTGTGGCTGCACACAATAGCTTAGCTATATAAACCTCCTGCCCTCGTAAATCAATGCCTTGAGCGTAGCACTGGGGTAAAGTTCCTTCTAATAACGCGGATGCTCCCAGACACAGACTAAACATGCACACTGCTCTCCAAAGAGGAACTACAGAAACTGGGAGGGGAGAAGAGGAAGCTCCTCTGTCCATGCCGAGGGAAGGGAAGGGAGAGGCCTTGGCCAACGAAGAGGGCACTGGACTCTGTCACTGCCCCGTGGCTTCGGGCACGTCACCAGGCCCTTGGGAGGCCTCGGTGTTCTCATCCATCCAAGGAGGCCTGGCCCAGCTGATCCCTAAAGGACTATGGCCGCTGACATGTCATGGTTTGAGCATCTTCTTGGGCAATGATCCAAGGCTGAAGGCCAATCCAAGGGTCTGAAGAGGAGTGTGTTGGGGGAGGCAGCCAGAAAGGGAAAAGATGTGAGGCAAAAAAAAAAAAAAAAATAGAGGAAGCTAGCACAGGCCCACCCTCCAATAAAGGCCAGCGCCTACGGGCAGGGCCAACGGTGAACCGCACCCGCCTGTCTTCAGAGTCCACAGAGAACGGGCGTGTCGGCTGCCAGGAGCAGCAGACAGTGGGTGATGGGGGCGCTGGGTGAGCTGCCAGCGTCCGCAGACCCTCCCTCAGCTGCAAGCAGGCCAGCTCCACGGGGGGGGGGGGGGGGTGGGGGGGCGGGTGGGCAAGTGGTGCCACCGGCTCGGCCACAGCCGGCGCTGTTTGTGACTTAGGGCCTGCTGTGTCTGGGGGCCTGCCAGACCTGCTTAGGGCACCCCTCCACTCCTGGGCTTGAACAGTAGCACACCCCTTCTGCTAACCTACTGCTGTCTTGTTGGGACTGACATTCGTTCTTCTCAGGGGATCTTCCTGGCTGCACCCTGCGTATGGCCGGGGGGCAGGGGGGAGGCAGAGAGGACAATTTCCCAGCAGTCTCCAGGCAGGGTGGCTCACGACACTGCTCAGGGTTCTCTTTGACTGGCAACGAATCTAGCGTGGTCGACTGTGCTGTTGCAAGTCTAGACCCCTAAAGGCCCAGGAGAGCTTGGGCCCATTTCACAGCCCCCAACCCACAAGGGGACCTCAGAGTCTGACTGACAGGGCAACAGGAACACTTTCCGAAGAGCTCAGGTGTTCTATTTCATGAGAATTGGGAAATCCTCTCTCCAGCACAGTCCACGCAAACATGAGCAGCAGCCTAAAAGCCCTTCAGCATTACTCGATAGTACAAAAAGTTTCCAAGTAAAGAATTTGTACTTGGGGGTTTGGAAGGACTCAGGGCTTCTACACTATGGGAAATAAGGCAAAGCAATTAATATACGTTGTTTAAAAGAAAAAAACCACTGCAGTCAGGCAGGTGAGACACCAGGTTAGCTGTTAGTTGGGTTTGTTTCTGGGAAGGCGGAGACTGGAGCTCTGGGGGGGGAGGGGGGTCTCGTGTGGGCAGAGGCAGGTGCCACCACCAGCAGCTAACACCACACTCAGGGAAGTCTGTCGGGCAGTATCCTATTTTGCAGGACTCACGGGCACAAGGACACACGGCTGGAACCTCCCCAATTTGGAAGTGGAGTGTGCACACGGTCTCCAGGAGCCCTGCTCTAAGCTGCCCACACATGCCCTGGCCTGTCTCTGAAGGAACCGAATGGTCTGGGCAGCCCCTGTCTCTAAGAACGGCCTTGGGGTCAAGTGCAGAAGCAGAGCGGTATCAAGTGCCTGCTGCTCTGGCCGGCAGAGGGAGTGGCCCCACCGGAGTGTGGCTGTGCAAAGGGCCCTAAGCTCCAAGCCGGGGTGGCAGGAAGGTCCCTCCACCCCCTTGACTCTGATGTTGCTGTGCGGCCACTGCGCGTTGGCCACACCTTGCTCAGACAGGTGGCCCCCGCCGTGCTGCCTACAGCCTCAGACACGCTGGCCTGCCCGAGCGCCCCTCCGCTGGCCACAGCCTAGCACCGTTTCCAGGGGTCGGTTACGCTTCATGCCCAGTGTGTATGGTGCGTGTGTAGCGTCTGCCCGGCTCCACCCCTGAGGCTGAGGAGCGACTGCTTTTACTGTCTCCCTCTGTGCCTTCCTCTGCTCCAGCCCTGCCGCACACGCACGCACAGACCTTTGGTCTTTATGTTACAGGTGCTCAGGGAGGGCTGCGGCTTCATTAGAAGTGAAATCATCAGGCCGAGGCAAGCGGCCTGGAACGAGGTCACCCTCTCTCTCTAGCAGACTCAGGGCCACCTGCCTGATCAGATAAGGCAGGAGAGGCCCCCTCAGGTCTCTGTGGCAGAAAAGCTCTACTTCATGAGAACTAACTGTGTTTATGATATTAAACTCCCCTGGCTTTGTCTTCTTTCTATTCTGTTCCTATTATGTTGGTGGGGTTAAGATGTCTCAAATTCTTCTGGGGGACCCAGTGGGCACACACAACTCCATTATAAAAACCTATCAGCCTAGAAGTCCCAGATCCATAGGCTGGAGGTGGCTTCTCCAACTGATCAGATGCTTTGAGTCTGTTCTCTTAGAAACGTCCCCTCCTAAGCCAAAGCCACAGTAACTTGTGCTCATCCTGGAAAAGCGAATACTGCCGAGAGCTCCAGAGACAGTAAAAGGAGGGAGAGGGCCCTTCCCTCACTCCCATATGGGTCCCAGGCCCTTTAGGCCCCGGGGCACGGACCTTAGCAGAAGACCAGAGGGGTTTCTAGGGCTGACAGTCTGTGGCTTAAAGGAGATTGTACAACACAGGAGGATGTTCTGGTAGGGGCAATTTGGCACCCAGTCATTAGGAGATGATGGCCTTGTACTGTCTGACTCGCAAGGGCTCAGCGGGTGACACAGGTAAGCGCTGGGGTGGACAGGGGGCTCGGCTCAGCTGGTGATCTCTCACCATTCCTTGGGTTATGAGCCAGCTGTCTATGGGCTCCAGGCCAGAGTCCCCACCTTTACCTCTCTTCTGGGCCGAGGACAGAAAAGTCCCAGAAAGAAAAGTCACGGCAAGACCCAGGATAAAGAAAGCAACAGTATATATCATGGAAACGGAAAAAATCGCTGTTCAGAGTTGATCTTTTGTCACGTAAGGAAATGTGACCCATCTCCCCCTCCCCCTCCAGCATGTGCCCCTTACCTGCCTAGAAAAGAGAAGAGAAGTTTAGTAACCAAGAATCCCAACAGGGTAACATGGACTCATACCAACAATGCCCATACACTGGGAAAACCTCCATGAGGCCCCAGAAGGCCGACCCGGCTGCTTCTCCTGATTAGGGCTCTCGGGGTTGGCAAAGGGTCAATGTCTCATAGAGCCAGCTCTTGCCAAATCATTTCTCCTTTTCTTTCTAACTTATTTCTGCTTTCCCCCCCTCCTTCTCAGTTACCTGGGTGTTCCTCTTCCAAACTCTTAACTTGAACCCTGAACTTGGGTGCACTGCTCTTTTTTAAGTGACAAAGGTGTTTACAGTTAAGACTCCTAATTTGGTTGCATTGTCGAGCCGTGGCTATACGATTTTCTCCCCTTTACTGTGTTCTTGATTTCTCCTTTGGCCTAGTTCTCATATTCAGGTCAGTATGGTTTAGGATATGGAACATCACGACCTAAAATGCTGGCCTGAAGACGCATGTGAGTGAGGGGGTGTGCACACACAGGTACAGAGATGCAGACAGGCACACGGACAGGGATATGTGTGCACTCTCACAGACGGATGCCCGCATCACAAACGCAGCTTCCCCCCATCGAGCAGTAAACGTGAAAGCAATGTGCCTACCATCAGGTGGAAAACATGCTGGAGTCATCAAGAGCTCTGAAAACAGGGAGACGGGCCAAGCCACACACCCAAAGGGTGACGGACGGGAAGCTGGCCACATCTCCTGTGCGTGGATCCAGGCCTGGGCACTAATAACAGCAGAGGTGCGGTAGGGCACACCCCAGCATGGATGGGGGCAGGCCCTGGGGACAGAGTGGGAAGCAAGCCCAGTCGGCTTGGCTGAGGGCCGGAGCTGCAGGCCAGTCCAGGGGGGGCCAGGAGGAGGTGTCTTCACCCAGCAGTGTGCTGGTGGGCCCTCAGCCCGGCCTCCTAACCCCACCTCTGAGTTAGTGGGAGACATTCTGAGTAATGGGAGAAACGGAGCCATGAAAACCACCCAGATTTTGGGAGTCTGGGTCCCAGGGGTGGAAAGGCAGAGTGCTGAGACCCAAGGCAGTTGGGCTGGCTCTCCTGTGCCCCCTAGTGGCCAGTGCAGAGGGCCACACAGCCCTCAAGCCCAGTTGCCTGAGCCAGAACAGAGAGAGGGAGAAGTCCCTTCCCCAGGGCGAGCCTTCCCCCAGAGCCCAGGCTGCGGACAGGGGCCTGGGACTTGGACAGGGGCTGCAGGAGCCCAAGAACCTCGTTCTGGAAGCAACCTTCCCATCCAGTGGACAGATGAGCACTGCTCCTTTCTAACCCAGCTGGGGGGCCCTGAAGAGGTCCCGCTCTTCGGGGGCGGGGGGGGCTCATTATCCCCACAGCTCCCCTGCCCCATCCCTGCAGACACACACTCATTCAAGCACACATTCCTAGGCGGAAATGGGGACGGTCTTGTGAGGAGCATTAAGACACAAATCCTTCCCCTGCAGAGACCTGAAATCGTACAGAACCCACAGCCCCCACGGAAGCACCGCCCTCCACTTCAAAGCACCTCTGCCTTTAGCTGTGCTCCTTCCAGACCCGGAGCTGCCAGAAAGGCCTCCTGGCCTCCACCCACTGCTCCTCCCTCTGTTCCGCCCCAGATCCCCAGACGAGTCCTGCCCATCAGCTGCCTTCTGGTGGGCTGGTACTGCTTCCCGAGGCCAACTACACATGATCAGCAGAGGTGGGCTCGGACGACAACCCCCAGGGCTGTGTGACATTTGGGAAAAGACGCTATGTGGCTGTAGGACACCTGTGCCCTGAGAGCTGGGGGCTGTCAAGCTAAGAAGAGGAGGGGCTCTGGAGCCAGACCTCCCAGGACGGATCCCCAGCTTGCCGTCCGCTCACTCGGTGCCCAGAGTGCGCTGCCGCCTCTCTGGACCTGCCTGCTCTGGGCTTCGCAGGAAAGCTGCCTGGGCATCACCCACAGGGCGGAGTGAGGACGCCACACAGTGTTCTCCCGCCAGTCTCCCTCCGCATGCCCTGCCCTCCACGCAATCCAGCTTCTGCCTCGCTACCGGGCCAGCTCTGCCACACCACCCAACCTCCATTCCTCTGGAGGACTCCAGGCAGAAAAACAGGGCGAAAGACCTACCACCTCGGAGCTCTGTTTCCGACTGTCTAGTGCAGAAGCGAGTCCTCCGACAGCCTGAGGGTCCTCGTAGGTTACCCTGGAGACAAGCAGCGCAGGCAGTCAGTACCCCCTCAGTGGTGCCAGGGCACCGGGCGGTGCCCTACAGTCGCTTTCTAGCTTCCCCGCGGCCTTGGCGTTTGGGCGGAGGCTACGGGCTCATGCTGATGTCTGACAGCAGCTGAAGCCAGGTGGCCAGGGTCCTGGCACTGGCTCAGCCCCTCATTTCCTCTGGGGTCTGGGACACCATACACCTCGATGTTCCTGTCAAGTAACACCACCAGGGCCTCTCCAAAGGCCAATGAACGAAGTACTCTGACACTGCAAGTAACATTAGTTCTTATTTCAGAAGCAGCCGCCTCGGTGGCATTGGACAACGAAGGTGGTCCCTTGATCTGGGATTGGGGTCTGTCACTGACCATGGAGGCGCTCTCCCTCTGCATTCTGACCTCTTTTGCTGTTAAAAGTGACTCATGCCGGGGAGGGGTGCATGGGGGCCTCGGGCTTCTGGTCACCCGCTGATGCCTGAGCACGGGACTCAGAAAGCTGAGTACCTCAAGGTGCTGGGCTCCAGGAAGCATTCTCTACCTGCCTTGAGGCTGAACAAGAAGCTCAAAGCATGTGCCTATGCCTCCCTGAAATGCGGGGGGGTGTCTCTTCTGGGATCAATTTCCCCAGTTTCATATGGCTTATCCTGGCCAGAGCTGCTGTCCGGGAAGCCCCTCCCACACGCTGGGGCAGGGAAACCATGCTGCGAGGACCTGCCTGGCCGCACCCCCAGCTCCTAGCTCCTCTTCATCAGCTCAGGGAGCAGAGACTGCGGAGCGCTCTCTTGTGACTGACAAGAGAGATCTGACTACAGTCACCCACCCCCCAGGCAGGGAGGCGGGGTGGGGGGGAAGGGGGAGGGGGTTGGTGTTCATTCAAAATCTGTGTCTACTGCCAAGTCTTCACAGCCATATTTCAACGTTCTTGGCAGTCCTGGATCTGGTAAATAAAAGGCGTCTTTGTGTTGGCCTGCGACCAGGCCTGGATCAATCCTCCCCCAATATCTTCCGAGAGCCACTGAAACGGTCCCCACGTACGTCTTGCGTTGCTCGGCCAAGGAGTTCCCTCTCGTCTGGGCGAACATGTCAAAGCCATCACGGGGATTACACTGCTGGAGTGAACTGAGGGTGCCGCTGACGCTCTCTGTCCCCAAGTCTGCGGCAACAAAACAAACGAGGGTAGGCTGAGAATAAAACGTGGCCCGTGGACTTAATGAAGGGTCCCCGAGTTCGGAAGCCAGTGGGCGGGTTAGAGTTCTGTTGGGGGAGGTCAGGCAGGGGGAACACAGGCCTCTCCTCCGCACTCCCAGCCCACCACGTGCAGGAGGAGCCACGGCGGGACCCAGACAGAAAAGCCACTGACTCCCCCCTGCCCCCACCCCCCACCAGCTGCTCAAGGTGGGGAAGGAGTCCTCATGAATGAAAGCAAGATTGCTGGCAGCAGGAGGGGCCCGGGGCCAGTCCCTCCGCAGATTTCCCACAATGCTCTGACCAGTGCACTCCTCACTAACTCTGTCACGGTATCTAAGGGCCTGGGTCATGTATTTACTTGACAAACATTTCACAGGCATCCACCATGTTCAGAGCCAGCTCCTGAGTGGACCGCACTGAATTCGACATGGTCCTCGGCCCTAAGGAGCACACTGAGTAGGTGCGAGCCAGACAGAAAATGCCAGTACCAAGCTTGAGATGCTGAAAGAGACTCAAAACTGACCCAAGAATGGGGCTTGAAGGTCAAGGGGACTCTGATGCAGGGAGAAGGGGGAAAGGCAAGTACCAAGGCACAGAACCTGAGGTCCAGGGTGTGAGAAATGAAAAATGCTTGTGGAGAGAGACTGAACACTAGACTTGTTTTTAAGAAGGAAGGCAGCAGCGGTGCCTGAGTGGCTCAGCCAGTTAAGTGTCTGACCTCAGCTCAGGTCATGATCTCACAGTTCATGAGTTTGAGTCCCGCATAAGGCTCTCTGCTCTTAGGGCAGAGCCCACTCTCGATCCTGTCTCCCTCTCTCCCTCTCTTTCTTTCTCTCAAAAATAAATAAACATTAAAAAAAAAAAAAAAGGTAGGCAGCAGAATTCAGTTTGAATTTTGGGTTTTAAATATGGTGGCCATATGCTGGATGGATTCAAGGCAGAGAAATCTGTTGCAAAATAAAAACAGTTGCTACAAATATATGAGATACTAAGAAGCCGGGATTATAGTAACTGACAGGCCACTAAATAAAAACCCTGCTCAACTGAAATGGGATGACGGTATAAAGAGAAATATTAAGAAAAAAAGGAAAACAGAAAATATAGGATTTTGCAAGGGCCATGCATTATTATATCAATACTGTCATTCTGTTATAGGCTGGTATCATCCAGCAAATCTGCAGCAGCGAGAATCATATACACAGTTTCAAACGAAGAAGTGGAAAAGTAGTGAGCTTCTTTTGTTTCAGGTCTCAGACAGTGGAGCACTTTAGGGTGATGTTAGGTTCAAGGAGAGCAAATAAATCACTGTCATCACTTCCTACTTCCAAGCCCATGGCAGATATTACCAATCAACTACAGACTTACCTTCTAAGCTCTGAAGTGGCCTCAGCATCCTTAGACCTGTGTCCCAAGCAGCCAAGGAGCTAAAACCCATTTGCCATCCTTGGCCTAGTTTACACTGAGATGACAATCATTTCAACCATATGGAATGTTCCAGATAAAACACAGCAGCTACCATTCTTTTAAAGCAAACAACTTCCTGTTCCTTGGAATTCCCTCTACCCCTTCTTTCCAACACGGGTTTAAACTTTAAGTTTAGGGACACAAGTCATGAACTAAAAGTGGTACAGTTGGCCAGGCTCAGGAGTACACTTTCCCATGGATTCCTCAAAATGCTCTCTATGGGCCTTCCAACAAAGAGAGAGAAAGGGACCTTCAGCCCAGACTCATGACCAGGAAGTGGCCTGCAAAGGAGGCCCTCTTTGCCCCTATGAGACACTTACCCAAGCCTGCAAGCTGGGAGGAGAGAGAAGATGGGGGTGCCGTGTTCCCCACCATTGGGCTCACCACGGCTGGAGACCCCGGCCCCAGGTCTATTAAGTTGTCTTCAGTCACTTCGTTTAGCACCTGCCAGAGCAGAAGACAGCGGTGAGCCTCGGAGGCTTCCAGGAAAACATCAGCAGACTTCATGCGGGGTCCCCAGGGAAAAGCATTGACGCTGCCCCAGGACAGGAACAAGGCAGTCTCCCTCAGCTGTACTCCAGGAGACTTCAGGGGTCCACGGCTGGCCCTGGCTGTTAGTGAGCCCTGCACTGGCTCCTCCCCACCACCGGAGGCGGCAGGGCTGAACCAGCCACCAGTACAGTCACTGTCCCAGGAGCTGTAACTTGGGGCTTCCTTGCCACCCGCCTGCCAGAAATGTGCCTGTTGGCTATTCCTCAGTATCCCATCAACTAGAGCTTGCTCTGTACTTTTTTTTTTTTAAAGCTTATTTATGTATTGAGAGAGTGCACGCACGCGTACGCACACACAAGTGGGGGAGGGGCAGAGAGAGAATCCCAAGCAGGCTCCAAGTGTCAGCACAGACCTCGATGCGGGGCTTGAACTCATGGATCTGGAGACTGTAACCCCAGCCGAAGCCAGACACTTAACCAACTGAACCACCCAAGCACCCTGAGCTTGCTCCTATTTTTTTTTTTTACAGCAAACTCTAACCCCAATGTGGTACTTGAACTCGCGACCTCGAAATCAAGAGTCGCATGCTCTACAGACTGAACCAGCCAGGCGCCCCTAATTGCTCAGATATTTAAGCCCCAACTAGAAAAACCAGAGGTGGGACCGAATAGAGATAGGCCTCCCAGCCTCTGGAGAAGAGAGAATTCTGAAGGAGTACTTACTCCATTACTGGTGTTTTGAGCCGATCGGCCTGACCTGTACCGTTCGAACCTAACGGGAAAGGGAAAGCAGAGTAAGGAGGGTGACATGACACAGTGGCGCTCCCTGGGCCTGTGAAGAGCTCCTGGGGACCGAGCCTCCAGGAAAGGAGACCAACTGGGGCCACCTGGGAGCCTAGGGAAAGTGGATCTGGCCACACTCCACCTCACCGCGCCTTCCTCTGTATGCCCAAGTCATCTCACAGCAGGTGGGGGTACAAGAGCGACTGTGAGGCCCGTGTGGAGGCTACCCTGGCATTCAGGAGTTCCACAATGCCAAGGGCAAAGAGGCAGCTAAGAGACCTTCTCCAGCTAGAGGCTAGAGTTAGCAGGGGTCACCGGGATCTGCTGCTCCACGCTGCTCTCCCCTCTTGCTGGGTCACTGCCTGGTGAGTAGTGATCCCCGGGAAGGACCATCTGGTGGGGCGATGTGGGTCTACTCTGGTTTCAGGAAAGACTTGTGTTTTTATGAGCCATGGCCTATAAGGAGAAGGGGAATATCAACCCATCTGGAAAGTTCCTAATCCTGGAGTACCTTTCCCACACCGTCTTTGAGGGACAATTCGTTTTATCAAACGCTCTCAAGCCAGAATGGTACCTCAGGGCTGCTGACCCCAGGTTGTGCCTCTCAATTTGTGGTCAGGCCAGGCGTGGCAGACTCGAGAAAATGCTCACATTAGCCCCTGTCTTCCTATCCTAGGAGGGACTGAAATGGGTTTAACAGGTGAAAGGCCAAGCGCATTAAAAGTGGAAAAACTAGAACCACATGGCAAAACCAAGGGGCCTCGGGCTGGGAGCTGAGGCATCCAGATCTGCTCCTAATCTCCAAGGGGCACAGGAGACCCCTGGGTAACTCCACGTTCTTACTGCAGAGGTTTCTTCGTCGTCAGATGGACACAGGACCAGTCATCCCTGCTGTCATAGCCAAAGCTGATACAAGGCCCAGGGCCGGGACACACAGAGCAAAATCACCCCTGAAGCTCCCCAGATGCAAGTTATCTGTCACAGTGACCCTAACTGACGCCAGCCCGGGGGCCAGGGCCCCATGTTTCTGAGGGCCTCAGGCCTAGGAGAAGGTCGGCCTGGTCAAGGTGCTTTCTGGCACCTTCCCTGGGGGAAGCCGGAGTGATGATATGGGAGCCGTGCCTGCCATTACCTCCTATGGGCAACTTCTTCTCCAGGGGAGGCTTTGGAGAAGGAAAAGAATTTTCAAGTCAGTTACCTCAAATCCAAAAATGATTTGGCTGCAGAAAGAACTCAAACGAACGTGTACGTGTGTGCGCGCGCGTGTGTTTCCCTAAGCAGCAGCATCCGGCACTTACACCCTGCCTTCTTTGAAACACTCCAGACACACTGACATTTGCAAAGGGAGGGAAAAATCTCTTTCTTTTTTTAAAGATGGGAAAGAGGAAATCTTTTTTCCTTAGTACAGAATCCCACCCCCCCCAATCCTTTTCAAACTCCAAGGATCTTCAAAGGAGCAGGTGTGAAGCTCCGGGGCCCTGCCCTCCCCCCTCGCGGGGGCTGGGGGCGGGGCGGACGGCAGCATGCAGCCCTAGGCTTGCAAAGGGCACAGCCTAATTCCCCACGTCACCTTCCCGCCTGCTGGTTCCCAGGAGAACCGGAGATATTTTCCCTGTCAGCCTGGTGCACATTAGCATCTCTGACGACCGGTTTCCAACTCTAATCCCCCCCTCCCCCGCTCTCCATTGTTCCGGGAAGGAATGGCCGCGCAGCCCCGCCCCCACCTCTCATAGCGGAGGAAGACATTGTTGAGGTCGTCGTTGACGTGCAGCAGCTCCTCGGTGACCTCCTCGTTGGACACGCGGGAGATGAGCTCCACGATGCGCTGCTGCATGGCCCGACAGGTCCTGTTCAGCTCCTACGGAACACACACGCCTCTGGCTAGCCTGCTGGGGACGCTTTGGGTCACATTCCATTTCCTTTGGGAAAATGTGTGCCGATTCGTAAAAGTCACAAAAGGAGTGCACGCTTGTCCAGAAAGCCAGACGTGGGCGGGATGCAAAGAGAAAGGCTCCTCTGCGTTTCCGGCCACTGGCGGAGCAACGAGCTCCTTTTCAGGAGACGGGCCGGTGTCCATAGCTACGTGCTGTCGTGCGGACACCGGTACGTATCTGTACAGACCGTTCTCTGCATCTAAGAACAGGGTTATTTGCAGCTTGCTTTTTCTCTTCAACAAACTACTCTCGACAACCTTTCCCCGTGGCTTTGTACAGCGGCCCCGTCCCTTTGTGTATTCCCCTTGCCCCTCCCCCGTGGCTGCGCGTTTACGTTGAGGCCCCTTTCCGGCCAGCCCCAACCCCAACACCGCAGCAAGGAACATTCGCGTGCACGCTCAAGCTCCTATGTGAGCACTTCCATAGGACAAGCGCCTAGAAGCGGAATTTCTGGGTGAAAGGGTGTGGCCCTTCAGAATATGGACTGCTAATAGCAGAAGACCCTCCAAAAAGAGATGAGAGGGGGTCATTTACACCCCCGGCAGCAGCAAGGGTGGATGGATTTTACGACCGCATTAGGTACGTTTCGGTGGCACGTCTGACATCTCGAGGAGGTGTGAGCTCAGCAAGCTCTGGTCTTTCTTCCCGGCTGATGCCTCTCATGAACTCCCAGTCACCACTGGAGCCCTCCCTACCCCTGGAAGGGCTGTCCCTCTGAAGACAGGCCCTCACCACGTTACGGCCTGGCTACCGCAGGCTTCTGCTCCGGATGGCAGCCCGACTCTGGCTCTTGCGGAAACTTGCTTGCAGAGCCCCTTCACCTACCTGCCAGGGCTCCTTGCCATCCCGCAGCCCAGACTGGCCCTGCAGCATCCCTGACTACAGGAACAGCCTAAGGACAAAAGTCCTGGTGGGGGGAAAGCTGCAACTGCTGTCCCAGGCCACCTAGACACCAGAGGCAGCTGATGCCCCAGTGAATGACGGGGGTGAGGGGTGGTGGGGAGTTCCTTCCTTCTCACAGCTCAGTCTTAAAACCACCTCCTTTTGAACCATTTCTGGCAGAAGTCACTGCTCTACTCGCTGCACATGTGCATGTGAACTCTGTTCAGCTCCGTATTTTGTCTCACAATCTGGCCGGCTTGGCTAGAACTAGGTGTCCCCTCCCGCGAGATCATAAACTCCATGATGGAGGTACCACCACTTATCCCCGTGGATGCCCTCATGCCATGTGCTGAGCTACAAAAGGGAAAAGGCCCAGAAATCATCTGCCGAGTGGACCACAGAGGTGGCCAGATGCAAAGCCATGGTGGCCTGTACCAGTGCGCTTACCGCACATGGGGCGTTAGGGCTGGGCTCCTGCTCTACACCCTACACTGAAGCCTCTTGAGGGCAGAGATGGCATCCTTTGTCCCCATTTCTCCAGTGCCCGTGACTGACACGTAGGAGCTACTCCCTAAATACTTTGGAGAGAACTAATTAATGAAGGCAAGTTGCATTCCTTCCGTCCACACTTAGTTCAGGTTATCTAAATAGCGTTCCCGTACACACATGCACACGCGCATTCCTGCGTCACCAATGGTGGGCAATCAGTGTCCCAGGCTTGATCCTGCAGGTAAGAGCAAGGTCGGCACTTGGACAGACCTGTCCATCACGGAGTAAGTAGACCAGGAGTAGCCAGGCAGCAGGCCGGACACTGCTTCCGCCGTCACCCTTCCCCTGGCGGCTCAGCCTGTGGGGGCTGCTTCCCTTAGAGCAGAGGCAGCTGAGGAAAGAAGCCCAACCCACGTGGGTCGGCCCAGAACCACCCCGCTACAGCTGTAGTTTTCAAGACAGAAGTATCTAGACGGCTGTGTACAAAATAGCGTGGCGTTTGCGCCAGAAGGAAAACAGCTCCACCTGGAGAGTCTCTGGCATGTTGGGCCCAGTCTCTCTGGTTATAGAAACACTGCCCTGGTCTTGCTTCTACCTGGTGGCTGGCCCTCTGTAGAGTCTGAATGCTACTGTCTGTCTCTCTTGGTCATAGGGACAGCAAGCCCAGTGTCTAGACCTTCTGGTTTTTTCTATCAACAGATCCCCACTCTTGGTTCTCCTGAAAGTGAGATCTCTCTCTTGCTCCCATTCTTCGTTTTGGAGAACGCAGCGGAGCTCCCGGCAAATCACTGGATGGTCAAAACCCCTCTCCTCCTCCCCCCGAGCTGGTACTTCCAGTGCCAGCTGAGCCCTGGGCAGCCCAGCCCAGGCAGGGAGTGGCATTCCCACCAGCAGGAGATGCAAAGGAGGGGAGGTCCGAGCAGGCTGAGGCTGAAGGAAGGATGGGGACCTTGACTCTACAGTGCTCTGAGCCCTTGGTCCGTGCAAACCACCAGCTCCCCATCATGGTCCTCACTCAGTTATCACGTCAGCTTAGCCTTCCGCTAGCACTGCCTCCACTCAGAGAACAGGGAATTCTCCTTCACCTAGATTCTACCTTTCCCTGGACCCCTTTCCCCGGCGACCCAGTAAGCATTTATAAACATACAGACATGTGTTAGAATAGCAAGAGGCAAATACCAAAAATGAACTGCACAGGACATTATATCCAGTAAAAAGTGAAATACCATAAAATGGCCACTCTTTACCATTGTGAATGGCTCATATCCCCCGGCCGGCCAGGACAGGGGCATTCAGGAACCTGCCGGGACCTGGAGCCTGGCCAGAACTCGGGTGACGGATTGTCACAATAACCGACATCAATGCTGATGGACACTCACTGGTCAAATCCAGTCACCGCAGGGACAGTCAAAGCCAAAGGCCCAGTGGAAACCCTCATTACAGAAACAAAGTATGCTCATGAGTGAGGGCTAAAATGAGGCCAGGCCATCAACATAAAACAAAACGAAAGCCCACAAAGGAACTTACGAAAGAAGCAATCACAGTACATCGCGTGAAGGATCCCAGCAGCCAGGACTGAAGTGAACAGTATAAATGACCGTAGTATTTATAATACATTGTTAGAGCTCAGGGAGAACCTGCTTTGGGCCAAGAAGGGAACATGGATTTAGATGAACTTTCAAAGACCAGCCCCTGTTCACCAAAAGGAAAAAGACACTTGGCCATTCTTGGGCAGCAGATCTTGCCCAGAGCTTTGAAGACCCGCCGGAGACCAGCCAAAGAGTGTGGGGATGCAGGAGCGGGAAAGACGGAGCCTGGGGACACAAGAGGCCGGGTGGTGGACAGAGCAAAGAGGCATGGTGCCTGCCTCTCTGCTGTCTGCCAGGACCCCTTCCTGGGCGACCCTGTCACTCCCTCCCCCTGGGTGTGCCCGTGCCTGGTATAGATGAGACCGGGATTCACGGGGTCTGCCAAAAATCTCTGACGGGAAAGGGGTCTTGGGACCCAGTGACAGACCCACTCTCTCCAGCAAAGGCAGCAACCCTTCCCCACTGGCCCCACAAATACTAGACACACAGGGAAGTGTGTCTAGTATTGTGGCCAAGCAGCAAGTCCTGGCTCTCTAGGCCAGGGAGGGAAGGGGAAGAGGTCAGTGACTTCCTATCCAAACTGCAGCCAATTCCAAGACAGGAGGACATCTTAGGCTACCCTGGCAGAAGCTGGTGGCTTCACCTCCCAAAGCCATGGGCCTTCTCCAAACACTTCAGACTTTGTAGAATAGCAAACGGCCTCAGGCACTAGCCCTACTGCTCAGGGGCCCCTGAGAAGTCAGCCCCCTCTGTCTGCCATGTTCCTCTCCTTCTTTTTCATCAAATTCCTACTCATCCTTCAAGGCCCCATAATGTTTCCCCACCTCAACCCTTAATCACAAAATTTTCAAACGTAGAGAAGAGATTTAAAAGTTTTAGGGGTGCGTGGGTGGCTCAGTCAGTTACGCATCTGACTTCGGCTCAGGTCATGATTTCGTGGTTTGTGAGTTCAAGCCCCACATCGGGCTCTGTGCTGACAGCTGGAGCCTGCTTCAGATTCTGTGTCTCCCTCTCTCTCTGCCCTTCCCTGGCTAACACTCTGTCTCTCAAAAATAAACTGTAAACATTTTTTCTCAAAAAAAAAAAAAAGAGTTTTATAGTAGACTCTATATACCCAACACCTAAATTCTACCTCCCGCTAGCATTTTACAATGCCCGCTTACCAGGCATCTACCCAGCGATCCATCTCCTTATCCATCCAAAATGTTTTCTGGGGGCTCCCCCCAACCCGAGACTTCCACAGCACTCTGGCCATACCGCTACTCAGTGCTGCTGCCCCAGGTCGCTAGAGCTCCTCCAGCAGAGCCTTAGTAAGTGAAGACCAGCCCTTACCCCCACCCTAACCACTGGAAGCCTCAGAACGCAGAGCAGGCCTCAATGACGGTTCACTGCAGCCAATGGGGAACCAAACCAGATCCCTCAGAAGACGGCAGGGAGTGTCTCAGTAACATGGCTCCGAACGTCCAGAGCACAGAGCCACTAGATGAGAAAAGGCAAGGCTGGACTCAGTGTCCTCCACGGAGCTCAGGCCCTCCTGTGTGCTGGAAACCAAGTGGCAGGCGGCAAGTGGCCATGATTGACCAGATGAGCTCTTTGGGCCTTCAGCACCGTCTGGAACTGTTTCTCCCCAGGGAAGGAAAGGGGGTCAGAGAAGTGCCCCAGCTCTGCAGAGCGCCGCTGAAGTGACTCCATAGCCAAGGGTTTGGGACAGCACCCCTCCCACCCCCCCTCAGGGGACCTTTTATTTAGTTTAAACATTACAAAGGCGTCTGAGTGGCTCAGTAGGCTAAGCATCCAACTTGATTTCTGCTCAGGTCATGATCTCACGTTCATGGGATCGAGCACTAAGTGCGGGTCGGTCTGCACTGACATGGTGGAGCCTGCTTGGGATTCTCTCTCTCTCCCTTGCTCTTTGCCCATCCCCTGCTCGTGCTTTCTCATGTGCTCTCGCTCAAAATAAACAAAACATTTACAGATAAATAAATGAACACTGCAGTTCTCTGTAGAGTTTTATTCATCGAGAAAAGGGTTCCACTACTTTACAGAAATGTTTGGGCTGTGCTAGATGATTTCTGAGACCTCTCCTGGCTCTAACATTACGACTCAGCTCTTGGGAAGAATGAGACCCAAGGGCACAGAATGCAGTGATCTCATGGACTGTGGGCACCAGAAACCCCTGCTCTGCCCTTGTGCTTGCTGCCTTGCTCCCACAGCCTCTAACTGGGGGGGGGGGGGGGG